TTTAAGTAAGGGGCTTTGCCTCTTGCGCGCACAGGTAACTGCGGCCTGCCCAAAAAACGTGGATGGTTTTCTCTTATTTAGTTAAATATTTCCTCTTTTTATCCCAGTTAGATGGGCTCTTATAAGAGAACCAAGCGTTGCTCTGTTATATATATATCTTTGATATATATATGACATCTTAGGGCTAGTGCGCTTAATATCACGTATAATATTTATACTATAAATAACTTTATTTTACATCCGTTTTTTTTATTTATAAATATTTATCCTTATTAAAAAATAAAAACTATATTTTCATTCCCCCTTCCATCTGTTTTTTTCCAAAAAATTATTATGGAAATAAATCATTTGATAATAAGTTATTTTAGTTTTATTTCAAAATTGAGTGCAAAATCGTCACAATCCTATTTTTTTTAAAAATATTATTCAATAATATAATTATAAAAAAATGTTTCGAAATAAATTAGTCATTATTAGCAATTATCGCTATTATTTCTTCGCGATAGTTGTTTCGCGATATTGTATTCGCGGTAATGTATTCGCTTTAAAAATTATTCTTAATACAAAATTAATATTATTTACACTACGTTATTATTTTACTATCTTAAAAAAATTAATATTATTTTTACTACGTTAAAAAATTAATATATTTTTTTTTACTATGTTGAAAAAATATACATGCTGTGCGAGAAGCAAATATAAAATTGCTTATTTTTTTACGTGTACACATGATTTATAGCGCTCATGCCCTTTAACGTTGAAGGTTCAACAGAGCTACGCTAGATACCTAGCTGGATTAAATTAAGTTGGATGAAAAATTAAAATGAGTAGCCCTCTACACGTCTGTTGGCAAGCCGCACGTACTTGTACGCACAACAGTAATAGAACTTTTATTTAAACCACCATAGACTAAGGAAAGTAGTTGGGCAAAACAAAAGCCTATACCCGAGAACTTCAGTATATAATTATTAAGAGTGGGAAGTGGATGATTTTAAGTTTACAATTTTTAGTGTAAGTCTTAAATGGATTTTCAATTTTATTATTCTAGTTCGATTTTTTAATCTTGATATTCTATTATTTGCATTGGAAAACCGAATATCACAATTCTGTAAAACTATTCTTAAATAATAAATAAAAAGAAAATCATGCATATGTATTGTGTAATTTTACGTTAAAAAAAAGCCTTAGGGAAACAAATAAAAGGATGCTTATTTTTTTAAATAAATAAAGGAAGAATTTTTTTATATTTTATTATCTTTCCTTTTTAAAAAAATTTCTTCTTTTAAATTAAAATGCCTAATAATTGCAATTGTGTTGTTGAAAATTTATTTAAAATATCATTTAGCTCAAGAAATTTCTATTTGATGTGAAGAAATTGATTATTAAAAAAGGAAGACAAAAACCAATTTTACAAAACTTAAAGAAATCAAAACTTTCATTTTATGAAAAATATGAGTAGGGAAGACCAGGGCTAGTCGGCGCAATTTTTGTCAAAATCATCATAGCTCCGAAAATAATTATCATATAGAATCTTACAAAATACCAATCGATACCTTAAACATCTATCTATAAATATATGCTGTTATATTTTTTAAATATCTAATATTTTTTTCTCTAAAAAAGTTTTAGTAAAAGTCATTTTTTGAACCTAGTAGCCCCAAACCCGTGGTTAGTCGGTTCATCGATGGGGCTAGTCGAATCAAGTGGTTTATTAGGCTTCCTATGAGACAAAAATTTTTTTTTTCAGATTTTAATATATAACTATAATTCTTTATTTATATAATGTTCTATTTACAATTATAACAAATAAAATAACAATCTTTTTTGGCACAGGATCCATGCGCCCAACCTTTACATACTCTACATTGAAACCAATCTTCAAAATTATGGAAATTTTTATAATCCTGTTTACAAATAATACATACATCTTTGATTAATTTTTTAACAATATTTTTTTTTTGGTTTTTTATTCTTCTCTTTTAAAAGAACTTCCCTCTTGAATGGGGATGAGGTCAAGATCACGGCCTTTTTTTTCCTTATTACTTTATTTTGCGAATTATGAGAAATAGAGATCGGTATAGATGATGGGCCTGGGAGATTAATGTTTGAAGGGATAGGAAGATTAATAGAAGTAAATGAGGGGCTAGGAAGAGGGAAAAATTTTGGGAAGAGAATCGATTGATGAGCTAGGAAATAACTGAGGAATCTGAAGGATGATTTCCAAGACTTTCTCCTAATAAAAACGAATTTGATGAAGGAATAAAATCCTCCTCCTGATAAATATTTTCATTATATGGGTATATTCCACAAGATTCAAATCCATTTTGAATATTCTTGAGGAGGCTGCCAAAGGTAAAATATCCTTATAATAGAGGGAATATCATAAAGGGAAAGAGAGATCCCACGATGATTTCGCATCCACGAATCTATACCTTTATTATAAAATTTTTTTAAAGGTCCATATACTGTCTGCAATTTATGAGTGCAGTGTGGAGGAAGAGATAGAAGTATTATCCCATTATATATACTATATTGAATAGCATGATAAGATTGGTGGGATATATGATTATCCAAAATAAGCAAAATTTTATATTTCTGGCTGCATCTGATATGAGAAACAATATGACTTAAAAACATTATAAATTCATCCTCTTGCATCCACCCTGATCCGTTGGATGCACCAATACATCCCTGAGGACCGTCTCTAATAAAATGATTATAAAATTTTTTTCGTGGAAAAATAAACATTGGGGGAAGATAATTCCCTAAGGCATTAACAGCCAGCGCCATTGTCACTAGAGTGCCTCGCTCTGCAGAAGTGATGGCTCCGACTTGTTTTTGACCCTTCTGCACAACAATTTTTGATGGATTTTGCACTGTTGTTAAGCCTGTATCATCCATATTATAAATTGACATAGGTCTTAATTCATGTTGATCTAGTATTCCCTTGTATAGATTAAAAAAATATAGAACAGCCTCTTGATTAAAACTAGCAGCTCCAGCTAAACTAGTAGCCTCAGGAGATCTTAGAGATAATCTTGGATTTCTTCTCATAAATGAAGAAAATTATTCTTCACCAGCCTTTTATTAATTCCATGATTTGGGTATTTTTTTGTTTAATTGAATTGCATGATAATAAGCTTGAATCTTTATCTAATGTATAAATATTTAAATAATATTATAATTTTTTTAATACCTAACGGATAATCCATAGAAGGTCTTACTACAGGTAAAAGGTAATCAACAATTTTATTTTCTTCATCATCATCAAAAATTTTTTGTTTATTATTTTGGCCTATCTTGGGCATAGTTCCAGAAATTATATATTTTTTATAGTTTCTTAAAAAATTTGTTGTCGGTATACGTAATAAAATAAAAAATAAATTTATTCAAAATTTATCTCTAATTTTATATTTAAATATATAATATCATATGACCTTTTTATCAGGTCAAAATTATATCACTAAAATTTTCATATCCAATAAAATGTTTTAATTTGAATCATATTATAAATTGCCAATTATAATATATTTATATAAAAAATATTAGTTTACTATATATATATAAATTTTAAGCCTGATCTTATTATCAGGCTAATATTTATATATACTAAATTCATATTCAATAAAATGTATTAATTTAAATCATATTTATTGTAAATTATAATAGAAATGTATAAAAATATGTGTTTGTATAATTCATTTTAAATAATTGATCTTATTATCAGATTAAAATTTATATACTAAAAATGTATGTTATATCTATGACAATATATAATAACAATATATATTATAATATCACAATATATATTACAAAATATATATTATATTATTACAATATATATGAAGATTTTAGTTTGCAAGATATTTATTTAGGTCTGATATCATATTAAAATTGAAATGTATATTATGAAAAATTATATTAATGAATTTATATAATAATTATTATTATATATACACTACATATTATATTATATTTTAACCTGTAATAGATGATACTTTTCTTGATGAGTTATTATTTTCATATAGTTTAATAGCTTCTTCGTAATCAGATTTATTCAAAATCTTTCGATTTTGAATTTTGCGGATATATTTACTTACCATTATATTATAAATATTAATTGATTGATTGCGCCGACAAGCCACGATTCAACTAACCTCAATGGTGGTAATATTACTAATATGATTTTTTTAACATATATTTAAGCATTAGATATCAATCTGAAACTTTCCCAAATATTAAAATAGATATTTAACTTTCATATAATGTCCATTTTGTCATGTTTAAACTTTTAATTTTTAAATACAACCTAATAATATTAAGTGAAAATATTGTAATTTTCACGTCAAAAACATGTCATAACAGATAAAAATTTAAATAGCTAAATTTTATAAATTATTTTTATCCCCAAATATGGATATTATAAGTTTCTATTTTAGAACAAAATTTCAACTTTTAATCGTTACTGGTTTTAAAATAAAATCTTTGAACCGACAAGCCCCTTGCGCCGACTAGCCCTGGTCTCCCCTACCTCAGTGAATGTGGGTTTCATTTACAGTCGACGATTCAATTAAAAACTCCGCTTATTAGTAAATTTTAATTTTTTGTATGGGTTCAATAAAAATAAAAAATATTTTTCAGTTGCTTCCCCAGTAGCAAACTTGACGCTTCGTCACTGTTATAATTAATATTTTATGTAATAACAATTCAAAGAAATCGGATTATGACACAAACTTCAGTTAAGGCAATACATTATGTTGAGAAGGAGGTAAGGTACCTCTTAAAAATTATTTAAAGAAAATTAACAAAAGTTGTTATATTATTTTTAAATAATATCTATCAAATGGAAGGTCCGATGCATGACTCAAATTTAAAAAAAACTTTTTTAATATACCTGACATTAAATAAATATGACGAGAATATAATATTTTACCTTTCTCTTAATATCGGCTTCCGAATTTTCATAAAAATAAATTTTATTTTTTATAAATTAAATCTAGAATTTACCTACTCATCATCTGGTGTTGAAAAAATGTCTTGATTTTTTAACCTTTTCGGAACAACCTTGGTCTCCTCAGATGAAACCTTATATGCTCCACATCTTATTTCGGCATTTTATTTTTATTCCGGGCTCCGCTTATGTTAGATACTTGGCTCGAAATATGCTTTTTAGCGAATGGAAAAAATTTGTTGATAAACACGGAAATGATATTAACGATGAGGATATTTTGTTTTCAATGTCCTTAAAACATCATTTCTCATCACAAAATTTAATACAGTTCTATGAAGAATGTGAAAAAACTGTCCCATTTACAAAGTTACCATTAAACATATTTGTTAATATTTTATATTGTGTATTAATCATATATTTAATATTTGCCATTATAAACATTCCCAATTATACTAATAAAGTATATTTTCTTATTTATATAAACAAAAATTTTTTTTTCATATTTTAAAAATAATGACAGATCAAGTTTTGATTTAGAAAGCTTACGTAAATTTATCATAACTCTATATCCGGAAGAAAGTCAAAAATTTAATAAAAATGATAACGATAGCCGCCCTCTTGACATTGAATTATATGATAAAGTATACCAAATTGTAACTTGATAATTTATTATATGTTGAAAATATAAGTTAATTTAAGGTATACGTCCATTGATAAAATATATAATCTAAACATTAGTTCGAAAAAACTCGTTATGTTTGAAAAGAGTACTTAAAAATTTATCAATACTATATGTTCTTCCAAGTTTCAACTACTTATCCACATGCGATTTACATTTAATTCATGTTTTTTTTATATCAATGAACAAATTTTAAAGCAAATAAATTTATTTAGAAAATTTTTAAATGATTTTATTGAATAATTAATAAGTCTAGTGTTAAAAATTAGACTTTTTATAGATGCTAGTTTTAAATGGGAATTTGATAGTAAAAATAGGAGTAATGATATTTTTTTTATTTTTTTTTACCATGATGTTCAAATTAAATGAGAACAAATTATTTTAAAAAATGTTGTTTACATGTGCTCTCATAATAGGAGTTTCTATACAAAAACAACGGCAAACCCTGTATATATTCTGATTATATTTTCTATATTTCTTAAAGGATATGTATATTATATTACAAAGACAAATTATAAAATTAAATTTGAATGAATGTAATAGTTTGAATCTTGAAACAATTATTTTATTTGCTGATTTTTTTAAATATTGAATGTTTGGTGCATTATTTTAAAATATAAAATAATTTTAACATGAAAAAACAAACTAATTTTTAACTTAAATTTTTGAACCGAACCTGTTTTTACCAAACCTGAACCCAAATTTAACCCTTTTCAAAATAACTTAATTAAATCCGAATTTGAATCCGGCAAATTTAAAAAAGGTTTAAATCCCTGGTTTAAAATAAAAGGAATGCCATTCACCATATTTGAAAAGACTAATGTTTTGGCTAATGAATAGAAATCATATTATAACCTGTTAAAAAATCATGCCATAAAAAATTGAATTACCAGGACTACTCGAAACAAAAATTAGGTTACGGTCTTTTGCCCGATTAAAATAATATAGGAGTAATGTCTTTAATTATCAGTGTTTAGATTAGCACCGAATCTATATATGATATCGAATGCTCTATCCTTCTTTTATGGGGACCTTAAATTATTCCAAATAATATGTACCAAAAAAGTTTATAAAGTAATTTAACTTTACATTATAGGAAAGTATGATAACGATGTTACGGGATATCGTAGAAAGTTTCCCATCTGCTTCATCGCCTTGGTTAGGTCAGGTATTTTTGCTTGCACCTATTGAAGAATTAGCTTCATTTTTAACCATCTCCGTAAGTATTTTTTGCACATTTTAATATACGGAATTCATTTCTTTTTTTACTTTCTACATTTAGGAAATTGCCTTGCCTCACATAAAAATTTTGTATTGCTCCTTAAAGCAATCTTTATACAGAAAAATATCACGTGGTTCTAAGAACGATTTTACTTTGGAATGTAAGAGTCGTTTTATATTATATTTTTTAGATTACCAACATGTATAGACTAATATTTGTTGTTACTAAAAAATAACTGTTATTTGCCCCAATTTCTTTTATTTGAATGAATTAATTATTGTATTGATCAGTTCAAAATACTCTATCCATTCTTATCTAAAAAAAATAAATCTAATTTTGTTTAAGAAAAAGGAAGATGTAAATAAGAAGTTATCAAAATAATGTTAGGATCAAATTTGTTATTATCTTCAGAATTTATTTTAAGAAAACTTAAAAAATATAATACTAATGATGTGCATAATTTATATTTTATATTATAAGCTAATTTCTTCTTACTTTTGAACACAAAATTTTATTCTTGTTTCAACAACTACATCAAGAAATACAATTTCGATAAAGAAACGATAGATGTAATTGGCGCTAATGATATAAAAGGTATCGGTGAAAATTTGTTTTGCTATTTCACTTAATTTTTCTCCCGAGTTTTTATATTAACAGAGACCTGCAAGGGTCAAATTTTATGCCCGAATTTAAAGGACTTTCCCATTTTTAAATTTGGCCCCTAGGCTTTTTATTTATTGATATCCGACTGAGATTTTTAAAATTTGTTATTATAAATAATTGTTACGATATTTTATAAATTATTTTAAAAGAAAATTGGAAATATGAGCAGAAAATTAAATGATTCATTATATGATTTTCCAAGTTAATTAATTTATATCAATTCGATCGTCCAAGGTTTTGTAAAAAAAAAGGCTCGACCAGGTTTCGCTTGTAATTCATTTTTAAAATCATACTACTTTCGGGCTCAGTGGCGTAGCCAGGATTTATCCATGGGGGGGGGGTTTAAATTTTTTTTTTGGGGGGGGGGCGAAGCCCCCAAACTCTACTTTTAAATATTGGCAATATTATGTGCTTTATTAGTGTATTGTCACTATAGTAACAAGCATGAATAAAAAAAATATTAGTAACAATTTTGGCTAAATTTATGATTAATAAGCGACTGAACACTGAAAACATTATTCTAAAAATTTAATCTATGTTTAGTCAATTGTAAATTAATTCATATAGTTTAGAAAGAAAAAAATTTGCTCCCCGAACCTTACATTTTTTAAGATCACTCAATATACCTGATTGAGTGTTAAAAATAATTCTTTTTTAAATTTTAGATATAGATTTTATTTATTATTAAAATACTTTAGTATAAATAAAATCTCTTTATTTAACTATGCATTTATTTTAATGATAATATACAATAAAATAAATTTCAAAATGTAGAAATTTTTATGTAGATTATTATATTAAAAATTTATTGTAAATAACTATATTTAAAAAATATATAATTCAATAAAATATAAGTAATTCTTGTACGGTATTTTAAAAAATAATTTAACAATTATAATTAATACAAAATAATCTATAAATATTTCTTTTAAAAATACAAAAATATTATGACTAAGAATTCATTATAATTAAGTTTTGCATATAAAAATTTTATGACTAAGAAAATATGATAATCATAGATTTGAATTTATAAAGAGAGGTCTACTTTTCTCTGAGATTTGGCTAATTCATCTAGAATAATCTCTTTAGGGCTAATCCATTTAAACGGTTTTCACCCGTGCTATTTCTTAAATAGGTTTTTAACCTTTTCAAAGTTGAAAAAGACCTTTCATTGGTGCAGGTACTAATCGGTAAAGTAGCTAAAATAAAAAGTAATGTTTTGATATTTGACAGGGAATCTAAAGTGCAATTACACATGGAAAGAGCCTGCAAAGCATTTTTAGGTCTCAAAGAGTACTCTATTCTGTCGAGATTTTTATACCAAAATTCGACATCATAAAGTAACTTATCATTCGATCCTGATAAATCATCAGAATAAAACTCTGAGATTTTCTTAATATCTTCTCGCGTTTCATGTGTAATCAACAATTCAGACTCAACCGGCAGAAGAAAATAAAAACTTTTTAAAATACAAATATGACTAATAAATCTTTCTTTTAATTGAAATAAAAATGTGTCAATGGGATAAAAATATTTATTTTATAAAAATCCTCAATCGAAGAGGCATCAATATTTAAGCGATTTGACTGTCTAGAAACTACTCTAAGTTTAAAAATTTTAATCCCAAACAAATTAGCGATCTTCTTTACTTTCTTGTAAATATCATGAAATTGTTCATCCACATTTTCTCTGATATTTGTTAATATTTCAACAATATCCTTTGCCCTATTCATAACCTCTCTTAAATCCAAATTAATTTTTTGAAGTTGCTAAAATCATAAGTATAATTAAATAAAAAATATACACATTGAATTAATATTAAAAATTATGGCTTCGTCGCCTGTAAAAAATTTTCAGCATCTGAGGAATCCTTTTCTTTGCTGGATACGTAGGATTCGAGTGCTGCAAAAATAACTTCATATAATTCTATGAAGAGTCTCACTGATTGTTGTCTTTCGATAAAACCTAGGTGGGCAAAATCGTTTTAGTTTTTTTTGGATTATTTGAATCAATATCATCAGTTCGGATAAATAACTGTCTCTTTTTGGGTGGTGTGAAAAAGTCACAAACCGACGATATTGTTTCTAAATTTTGAAAAATATATTAAATTATAAAAATATATCTATAATACATAATAAAATCTAATAAATTCCAATTAAATTAAAAAAAATTTACGTAAACTGTTCCGGATGTCTCGAATCACATGCCTCGGATATCATCAAATTTAGGCAATGTGAGCTGCAGTGAACATACAAAGCGGTGTTATAAAGCTCTCTAATTCTTGACTGCACTCCCTTAACATGACCACTCATTAAGGGAGCTCCATCATATCCCTTGGCCTCTCATTAGATTTAAATCTAGATCTTGAAGGGATGCTAAAATTTCTTTGGCTATCGTCTCTGATTTAGTGTCATGTAAATCAATAAATTGAACAAAGAGTCCTTCATTTTATAATGACCCGATTCCATATCAATAAACCTTATTGCTATGGATAATTGCTCTATGTTACTAACATCCGATGTCTCATCCGCCAGAACACTAAAAAATGGTGATGCTTTCACTTTTGTAGAAATTTCTTTCAATATAAACTTATTGCATATGAATATAATTTCATTTTGAATGCATGGACTAAGGTAGGTGGCATTTTTAGCCGAGCTTTCAAAAAGCTTTATATAATTATCATTATTGTTGCATAAAAGTTTCAGCAATTCCTTAAAATTCCCTTCATTAAAGAAGATGAAAGTGTTAAGGGGCCAGCTGATACTCTATGAGATCTTAATGCTAAGCCCTGCCTCCCTAGCCAAATGATTGCATCAATTATAATTATTCTGGCTCTGTTGGTTGTAACAATATCAATTTTTTTTTTATTCAATACATTAGATATTGATATCTTTTGATTCATAGAGATGGCTTTTAAAGCATCAGATATCTCACAAGAATTGAGATGATATTTATTTTGTTGATGATAATTAAAATTTTCAAGAGCATCTTTCCATCTTGTATATACTTGACTTACCAATGTTTTGAGTTTTTGTAACCCGGGTCCAACATATCTTGGTGAAAAAATGACGCACACTTTACAAAAGCTCCCTTTTCATTAGCTGAATAAGCATATTTGTTAAGCCACGATGTTTGAAATGTTAAGTTTCTTTTATCCAAAGACAATGGAAATTTATAGCATTTTTCAGGTGCCAAAATATTTTCCACAGCCAACAATTTTTCATTTTTAAACTGAAATTTTAAGTATAATGAAATATCTTTTTGAGGACATTGATTTTCTATATTTTTTTTAAATTTTAAAATATATATTTCAATGTGAATTGTAGAGTTCAGACTTGAGCAGCACAACAAGAAAAGAATATAGTTTATTAAAAATATATCTTAAATAAAGATTCAAGTTATCTATTTCAAATTTAAAAGACAGGGTAAGACATAGAAGGAAATTATTTGTTTTTATCTAAGATACAAGTTTTCACAATACTGCCAACTCTGCTTGTGAATGTTGTAATATCTAAAGATTATTTGGGAATTTACAATAATCAAAATGATGAGCTTTTCATATAAAAAAGGGTTATAACTAAATAAAGCACATTGCAAAATTTTAATAACTCAAATAAAAATATAATTTACAAATAAAAAAATAGAACTCAATTATATTATAAAATACCATACCATCATTTGATGATTTTCCAGCCAAATCAACTGAGAGCTCAGATTCTTTAATAATACATAATTTTTCTAATTATAAAAAATTAAGAGAACTTATAAATGATAATTTAGAATTATACCATTATCATTTTATGATTTTATTTTAGCTAACTCATTTGTTTTCCCTGATATGTTGGTTGTATTTCTAATTGCAATAAATAAAAGATATTATAAAAGTGAATACCATTACCATCATCATTTGAGGATTTTGTTATTTCTAAATCAAATTACATAAATTTTCTAAATCAATTTAAATATACCTTTATTTAGTAAAAATTTTCTTATATCCATGTGGGAATTAAATAAAAATTTTAAAAACTATCTAAATTTAGTTTAACAATTTAAATTTTATTATTAAATTTAAAATATCTAATTAAACAATAAAAATATATTTACAATATATATTTAATTGTTATTTAATATTTTATTGGTTCATAAAAATATATTTCATTTTAATATCGTATATATTATTTATTTTATTTCTAAATTGAAACAGTTTTTTAAATAAAATTAAAAAAAATTAAAAAAAATTTTTTTTTGAGGGGTGATGGGGGGTTTCAACCCCCACCCCCTTGTCTACGCCACTGTTCGGGCTAAACATACAGGTCTCTGAATTAAATAAATAGTTTTATTTGATAGATAAGGTATCAGGACTTGTAGGGTAATTAAATTGTTGTTTTTCCTAATATTTTACGTTATTGTTTGAAAACAGTTCATATTATGATTTTTGCAAGTTATCTAGATATTTTAAAGAATATTTTTACACTATGAAATTTATAAGGCACAATATTAAAAAAAATAAAACTATACTAGAACTTAACTACCATAATATAATATTAAATTATTCTACTTTGATATTCACATGAAACGGATTCCGACTTGATTCGACTGTTTTTTTGGTTTATGGCTTAACTTCAATCATTAATCGAAATTTAAGCTTATATTTCCCTGCATTTAAGAGCCGCCTATGAATTATTATAAGTGTTATTTTTAATTTTTATAAAAGCATTTTCATATCTCGAAAATATAAGTGAATGCCTAGAAATTGCAACACTCCACCCTCTATTGATCAATTACCTTGTGCTGGAATATGAACAAATTAAGACAATTGTTACGTTTATTACATACGAATTAAAAGTAAAATAAATTTTATATTTGCGTTATAATATTTAAAATATGCATGCTTGCAATAAAGATATTTACTTCCTATTTGTCTGATTCGAAAACACTCCGCTTATACCAAATATCGAGATATCCTAAGTTGTGTATCCTTAAATGCATGGCAAGCATATTAAAACTCAATTGCCAGAAGTTTTATGAGTCAAATTTAGTAGAGTTGATCATATGTTACATTTATCAAATGATAACCTATCCAGCAGTGTCCAAATCTACACCTGATTTAAAAGGTTGATTAAAATTTATATTATTTTTTTAGAATTATTTAGGTTTAATTGATTGCTTACTAAGCTGGTTTGATAATTATAACGAGAACGGGAGAAACGCTATTCTATTCCATGAGGCTCATATTTATCGGACATTATATTGTACGTAAACAGCATAATAAAAAATTTATTTTTCCTATTATTGATAACAAATTATTCAGACCTTTTTAGATTGCCATCCCTTAATAAATATGCAATTCTGAAGCAACCAGTGATCAATGAGCTACCTATTGAGCCAAAGGATTCTAAAGAAGTCCAAGATTTTAATTCCATAATATCCTTCAATTCCTTGTTACCCGAGAAATACTACGAATATTATGATGTGTTCAATATATTTTGCAGTCGAGTGATTAACCTTGGTAAAATCAAATTATTTCTTTTAGATTTACCTGTTTCTTAATATTTGTTTACTTATTTATTAAATTATTATGCCGTGATATAAAAATTATCCTCTGTTTAAATATTAAAATTCATGATTTCCCGATTCTAAAATAAATATATGCGGGTTATATATTTTTTATATTAATTTTATTTAATGATTGTATCTAAGGAACTTATTGGTGAAATATAAATCATTTTAAATTATCATGAATATATATGATGAATTCCATATCAAATCAACCAAGGTTTCAACCCGACTCCCTCAGAATTATTTTAATTTTATTTATAGCATTTACTATAACTAAGAAAAAAATAAAATTTTACTTTTTTACTCAACTTACTCTACTCGCTAAGATATGGGCGTTTAAAGAGCAGAAAAATGGTACATCTTTGACAAAATACACTTCATTAATTTTCAAATATCTTAAGAATATATTAAGTTAATGCAATAATTAAAATTTTATTATATAGAATAATAATGGATCTTATATGGCATATAAATAAATGTAATAGATACCCTATTAATATCCAAAACCGGAAATGGCCATAGAAAAAAGGTTTTTTTTTAAATTTTCTTTCTGTAGATACCAGACTGTTTTATATTTGTACAAAATCATAGACTGGGCTGAACGTGGGTCTAGGAGTTATGTCACTTTATATATCTAAAATTTAACATAAATATCATCATATTTAAATTTAATGGATATTTACTTAATAATTTTTATTTTATTTAAAAATTATGCCAAAATTAAAGGACCTTACTTTATTTACATTTTAGACTTATATATTTTGGCAACTCTACATACTGGTACTACCAATGAAAGAATATTATCTTAATTACCAAGAATAAAAACTTTGAGAAGTAGTGTTGTTAAACGGATCTATAACCTCAAAATATTGCTTAAACCTCGAGGTTTCGCTAATTGATGTCAGAACCCTTGTACCATCTATGAGCAAAATATTCAGACGTGGTTAAAATTTTTCTGTATAAAATACTGAGTTAGCTTTATTTAAAAACCGGTTTAAATCGAGCTATTTACACTACTGAGTAAAGTAAATTATATTACATATCACTTTATTGTTGCATTCACTAGAAAATATATAAATATAATGTCAATTATCATTATAATCCAAATAGAATGTAATATAAAATGTATCAACTATAATAACATCTTATATGTCATTTATCATATTTCCCCACACTTAAGATTTTAAACTCCTCTATCAGACGATGTGTAGTCTTCCTCGATCTTTGTGATTTCCTCCTCATTGTTGTTTCTAGTTCTCGAGGTAATGAAAACATATCCTGGGGACCCGAATTTTCATTAGTCTTTTCCGTTTCGCCGTTATCTCCCTCTATAGGTGGTCCTTCTATATTTTCCAAATTCTTAATTATTTCCGATTCCATATTTTCTTCCTCTTTCCCTGACTTCTCTATTTCTTTCGCTACATCCCGTTTTCGCAGTTGAACCTCATGCTTTCGTATTGTTCTATCTTTACTTTCTACCAAATAAAAATATCTACCAGTTCTGTATTTTATATTTCCTTCTCTCCAACCGGAATTGATTTCATTATGTACCCATACAGGTTGTGAAACCTAGAATTCCCTCATTTGAATGTGTTCATCATACGCTGTCTTTTGTCGCATATTAGATTGTTTCATCTCATCCTTAACATGTGGATATAACCAATCTAATTCAGTTTTTAGATTGCGCCCCAACAATAATTTTGTCGGTGAACGTCCAGTTGATTGGTGCTCGCCCATTCTGTATGATGTCAAAACTTCTCCCATAGCTTCCTCTGGCTCCTTAATATCTTTTCTAGTGGCAAGATATTGACTCTTAGTTCGTATTGTTCTTTCAGCTAACCCATTAGTTTTGGGATAGTAAGGTGTTGATTGTATTATTGTAATATTTTTTTATAAACAGAATATTCGAAATTCTCCAGAAATAAACTGAGGGCCATTTTCTGACACAAGTATTGGCGCTTCAAAACGTGCAAACTATTTCCTTAGCGCCCTGATCATTGTTGTAGACGTGGTTTCTCTCATCAACTAGATCTCAATCCTTTTTAGAATGTGCTTATCAACTCCAACTAACAGATGAATGTGTCCCTAGGCATATTAGAGATGTTCCACGAATATAAAGGAACCTCCATTATATTCGACCGGTTACTTTGACATGGCATACATTGACGAATGTGTTGTTCAATGCTTTATCGCAATTAGGCCACCAACAGTACATTCTAAAAATGATTTCTTAGCATTTATTCCTGGATGCCCTCTGTGTATAATAGTTAATATTGATTTCCTCAACTCAGAATAAAGCACAAAATATTGGCAAATTTTAGAATTAGTATTTGTATAAAGATAACTACTGAAAAATCAATATTATATAATATTCTTTAGAAACCCAGCTAAAGACCAGAGGAAAGGGAGTTTGGGGCTTAGCCACCCCCCCCCCCCCCCCAAAAAAAAAATTTTAACCCTTCCCCTTTGGATAAATTCTGGCTACGCCACTGAATACCTATATATGCAAATATTATTTTTTTTTCTTGGTATCTTTATCCCTCTTATCTCCAACACATAATCTATATATTTAATATAGTCCTGAAAATTGTTTTGTTTATCAAAATTATCAAATTTTACTTGTGTTCGTTTCACATAAAATATTCATTTCACCACTCTCATTAATTAAAATATTTGATTCATCACTTTTACCAATTACAGTAATTTATTTTTCTTCTTTATTTATAAAAACCTTCGTCGCCATTAAAGTAAATTTTATTACATATCACTTTATTATTGAATTCACTATAAAATATATAATCTCAATCATCATGATAAAATAATCCAAATAGAATGTAATATAAAATGTATGAAATATAATAATATCTTATATAGCATTTATCACACTGATAAAATGGGCGTTAGCCCTTCTTGATATAACTACGGAGTTGATACCAAGCACTGATAAAATTATTGAAAAATTAGCTCAATCCCAAAGAAGATTGAATTTTACATTATAAATTTATAATATGTTTCATAATTATATTTTTCCCCAATTTTTTAATATACCATAATTTTTCATGAATACTGTAAATTTATATACATACAATAATTCTTAAGAATACTTTTATGCATTAATGTATATTCCCAACATTTATTTATTTCAAATATAATTTAAATTTATATATCAAATTTTAAATGTTTAAAATATTTATATTTTTTTACAAACTTCTTTTTCGAGACCTTTATTTCGGAATATTTAATATTTTATCATTATTTATAATTGTATTTGTGTATTAGAAATTGTTAATATTTTTTTTTTAGTCACTAACTCACTAGTCCTAATATTTCTGAAACTTAAGATATTCTTAAATATTCTTCAAATAATACTAAAAATGGGTACCTGCTTTTGTTGGGAGGCTCTGATAGAGGGATACCACTTATATCTTAATATTAGCCCAAACTATCATTTTATACAAATTCATCAAATAATCTAAGATACATTTTGGCTTCATTCGTTGCTTCAACTATATTTAGATTTTCGTTGAAGATATCTACTGATTATAATAGTTTTAAAAATTTTAAACGATTGAAATGATAAATGGGTTTTGGAAAATTGATGCACACAAATATTTAGCAGTATTAGGAACATTTTTTTATCAATCATTCTACTAATATTTTTCATTTATAACCTCAAGTCCTTTAAAAAGCCACTAAACTATCCTTACTTTGCATATTTTTTGATAATATATTAAAGAATTGATATAAATTTAATTGTTGATATCTTTCCAGAAATATAAACTTCAGAAAATTTTAATTTATTAATTCAACAAACTTTATATTGTTAGAGGTATTTATTTGAATATAAAATAGTTTTTTAAGCTCTTAAATGTATAATCTGCATTTTTGTGCTCTGGAAGTGGGGGGGGGGGAGTCCAACCCCCATTCCCCTTGTCGCTACACTGATCCCTAAAGAGTACTTTGAAAATATAATTTTCTTATAAAGAGCAAGTAAAAATGAAGAACTTGATCATTAAATTTTTATAGAAATTATTTTCTACTTTTTATTATAATTTAATTAATTGTGGAATTTATATATTTACTCACTTTTTGGATTAAATTTTTATGCAAATAAAAAAAGGGATTTACTTATTTTGGTTTTGATTTAACTTGATCATATGACTTCTATTTTATACGTGTCAGCCCCCAAAAGCAACCCTAATAAGTTGTGCGATATCCACCGAAATTGGTGTCTTTCCTAATTTACCAATCACGATTATATTCTCCTCTAACCGATTTAGATACGTGACTAATGACTAAGATTCCCACGAGCTCCCCTTGTCCTCATCCCCATTCGCACCATACTGATGTCGATCTTTCCCCCGCCCCACACTGGCCCCAATTATTTATATATCAATAAATCATTTTCCTTGAAAATAATGGAATAATCATATAAATTATCCTATAAGATAGTTAATAAACCAATTGGTATACAAGCTCCAGGTTTGGGGCAAAAATTTACTTTTACTAGAATAAATCTCGAGAAAAAGATAAAATATTTTAAAAATTTATCGTATAACTTTAGGTAAGTGTTTGAGCTGTCTCATTGAGAAAAAGTATAAAATATTTTAAAAATTTATCAATGTATAACTTTAGCTAGTGTTTGAGCTGTCTCATGGTATTTTGTAAATTCAAATACAACCATTATTTTTGGGCCTATGATGATTTTGACAAAAATTTCGCCGACTAACACTGGTCTCCTATATGAATTATATTTATTTGAAGATTAAGAAAATTAGGATCGTATCCGGGATCTTCGTTCCAGTCCATTAAGCCGTTCAATAGTTAAGTGACCCTTATGTTTTAATTTGATTTAGAAGATCCCTCTATATTGCAAGTAGGTACTAAAGGTGGTAAGACTATTTGAAAAACGATTAATTGATGTAATACAAATTAATTCTTGAAAATGAGTTTTATAATTTAAAAAGCATCAGCATTTCAAATCGAATAATAAAAATTTTTTTTTAAAAAAAAGCCTATTTTACTCATTGTAGGGAGGGTTTATGTTTTAGGCCATTTTCCATGTCGTTCTCGAGCTCTCTTTCATTGTATTTATTGTAAAAATATCCTAATCAAGTCATCTGGATCTCCTATAACACCCTTAATTTATTTTGTTAGCCTCTTAACAACGGCGATTAATAAATATACTCTGAACTGTCTTGCAATAACCTTTTAATCCCTGTAATAGCCAGTATTCATGATCATTTAGGCCCAAAGGCTTCTTTAGACCATAAGAAAGAATACCGGATTTTAGGGGAAATGCCTTGAATTCTACTACTTAGAGCAGAAGATTCAAGTTGAAATTCTCCAGGGAAGCTTTATTTGTTAAGCCCACACCTCTTTTTTATATATTGTCTTTTTCTATTTTATTTAAATTATTTTTAAGGATTATATACTTAAGATTTAAGATATATATAATAAATTTATTCTTAAGGTTGGGCCGATACTCATGTTTTCCAAGAGATATGCGTGATTTTATCTGGGGCCTTAAATCTCATAATTTCTCATTCGGATACGAATGTAAACGGTGACGAAGAAGACCTCGAAAAATTACACATATCTTGCGTAGCCTGTCAAACTATGACTCTTTTAGTGTGCTACACTATTCTGACCCCATTCCCTGGTAACCCTTTAGACAGCCAGTTTCCGGACCCTGAAGTTTGCGGATTCTTCAAATACATAGACGTTAATATTAAGTATGTTTTTAGATACTTGAAATTGAACAATTAGCTTCTAACGATATATAATATACTTTTATACAAGATTTTATTTAATTAATTATTTATAAATTTGGTAAATTAATTAATTTACAAGTTGCAATAATCCTTGCAAATTATGCCTTTTTTATGAGGTATAGTATATTTTATTGCATAATTATAATAATGTTTATATTATTTATAATTAATTTTTTTTAATGAGAAACAAGATATACGCATAATTAGTCAGAAATAAAATATAAATATATATTATATGATGCTTTTACAGATATGGGAAACACTTGGGGCGTTTGCATAAATATTTTTCCTTGTCGTCTAGTCCGAAGCATTGGTCAGCTGAAAGTCCTATCTGGCCCTACAGACATCTATTGTATCCTACACACAACCTTGGACAGGTTAATGAGATTTAAAGAAATTTTAAAACTATATAGACAAAATTGAATATTTTTTAATAAAAATTATACATCTTTTATTCCTAAGATATCACCGCAGTACGCCTGGCTAGTAATGGGGCTTAAACGCGTGCCTAAATCTCAACTGAGTTCTAATTCTTCGGAAATGGCCATTATGGAAAATTCATCTAAAAATGATACTATATTAATATCAACCATTACCCCAGCTAATAATAACCCACCCCCTCCATTATATTACTCTAGTCGCTGTGATATGAAATCTTGTTTGAGACTTATAACCGATATATACCAGGGAGCTATGTGTTTTATACGCGATACTTTAGCCACTAAACATTTTGACGAACTCGAAAGCAAAGATAACGAATCCTTTAACTTTTACGGCGATTTTCCTGTCGAAGGGTTTTATTATTCATTTTACTATGCATAATTGCAAATTGTTTCTCATATATAATTATCTCCCTAAATAGATTAAAAAAAATACTTTTTATTTATTTTCTTTTGTAAAAAGGTTCAGAGTTAAGCTCGATCACTCGAATGTCAATAAAAAAGCGTTCGATGGCTTAAAATGGTTACCGCGTCGAAAATTATTGCTCGAGTTAATCAAATCGGTACATGTTTTCAGATAATAATAAAATTTAATTAGTCCATACATGGCTTGGAGAAAATGTTATTTATTAAATAAGAATAGCCCTGATCAATACATAAGCACTATGGTAGTATGAAATAAAGTTTATGGAAAAAATACTACTAAAAAGCTCCGGAAACACTAATATTTAAGGTCAAGAATTATACTCTTATCTTTTTAATTGTGTATATATATCCACATCAAGTATATCAGTTAAATTAAAGGAGGTAGAGGGGGGTAGATAGTTTGTCACCTCGGAATACCCCAGCTAGTCAACTCGAATTAAATGGGGCATGGTCCAGGCTTAAAAATTTAATAAATAGGGTTGATCCGAGGCTTATATTTTTCTTTTTAAAATTGGGCCCCGAGCTATTAAAAAAATCTTAAAAATAAAATAGAAAATGATTTTTTCGCTTCTTTTCTTAAGATAAAATAATATATCTAGAATTAGGATGAAGCAATATAGTGATTTCTAAGATTTAACGTTATAAATATGCGTTTAATTTATAGTTTTGCAATACAATATTGCCAAAATTACAATTATTTTGGCTATGATTATAAACAAATACTGCAAAAATGCAAAATCCTTGCCATATGACCTTGTTCAAAAAAATTCGTGTTTGATAAACCAGCACCTACAGTGAATGACGCACTGACAAATTGCTAAAACACTTAGGAGTAAGGTATTTAAAACCTCAATATGGAAGATATAAAAAATTGAAAGGGAATTTTAACCAAATTCGATAAATATTACATCAGTGTATTATATTGACATCAGAGATCTGCACGGCTCAGCCCATTTAAAATTTCGGAAATGAGTCGGATTATAAATTTAAGCTGCGCCAGTCAACTTATGTAGAGATTTTCCGGGCCGGATCATTTGAAAATATTTTTCCGAACGCACACTGAATTTGTAATATTATTTAAACCATTAATAATCCAAATTTATGATTTTTCATTTTATAAATTCTTGATGGGCTTCTTTGAACCAAACCACGCATGGGTCAAAATATATATATAATCGCAGACATGTATAATTAAAAATATAAACCTTAATTCTTGACCTTAAATTACCCTAAGTAATCGTTTTATTACATATTTAAATGCATATCGATTTATTTTCCACAGACTTTTATTCTTAAGTGTTTTACTCCGGCAGTTTTTTTTGCTGAGAATCATAGTTTTTTGGTCGAATTTTTATCCCAAATACCTTTTTCCTGGATTCAAGTACTATATATGTATTCAAATGTTTTACCAAGATTATCTTTTTAGGCTGCGTTGCCCTAATTGGAGCTTTTGATCTCTATGTTATTTTCCAAATTATTCATCGAAATCAGCATTTAAACGCTATATTTAATTTGGACGCAACTTTTTTTTTTTACAAATTAAACATATTTTTAATTTTCATATGATAAAGATATAAATATTATTTGTTACAATATCATAATTAATAAATATAATTTACAATTAAATCAATGTTTAATTTCTCTAACAATTAATATTATATAATCTAAAGATTATCTACATATCCGACACATTTTGTAGTATGGAACAGTTTGATTGGATGCAAAAGCTGTTTTGTCAATTGTATGATTCGTTTGAGTACGAAGGAGAACAGGCTGAAAATTATCAAGATGAAATTTTGATGCCCTATTTAGCGATGGGACTGTGCAAATCTTCATCTTCTATGGGAATGGTAACTGATTAATTTATGGTAGTTTAATTTTAAATTCATCAGAAAAGATAAAAAAAAATAGAAAATTAATTGCCATAGTAAAAAAATATGTTATTCGTATTGTACAAGGGCGCCTCAGAAATTTCCCAGTATGGGGAAAATAATGTTACTTATAAGTTTATTTTCATTATAATTATATTACAATTATATATGATTGATTCCAATTAAAATTACTATATTTTGTTTATTCCTATTAAATCCTAAATCTTTAAACTAAGTCCGCTCTTTTGGCCGAATCACTCAGTAAAGTTGTCGAAGGTGTTCTCAAAAACACTCAGGTGTTATCTAAAATAATTGGATTTAAGACATGCTTATATCTGTTGGAAGCCAATCCTTATGCTAACGAACGCTTGATTAGTTTCGTGTCCAATCACAGTTTTTCGCTTCTCGATTACCTAAACCCGTAAGTTAAAATTATATTATATGTGTGTCTCAATTATTTTGAAGGCAACCCGCAGGGATTTACACCCCACCTACCCAGATTCTTTTTACCTCCCACCCCCCTTAAAAGCCTACAATTACCCTCTGATACTATCAGACAAATTGTTTCTAATCCCCTCCCCCCCATTTATGTGGACATTGAGCTTTCATTTTATTTTATAAGTTTCTGCATTTACCAAGTCATCTTAAAATAATTAATTATAGTGGTTATAATAAAATAAATGATTAAATCTATTTTAATCCTAATTTTATGGAAGAGGTAACTTTAATTATGGGGACAAACAGCCTTTTTATATCTATACTTTTATTTAAACTTATAGTAGCGCTCTTGTTTCTTCATCTTACATCGACGTATTGGCCCGAACTCTATTCTATCTAGCTGAAACTTTTCAAAACGTACCATTGCAAGATTATAAATCCAGTACCCTAACGGGTAGTTTTTATTTAAATATAAATAAGAATATCCGGTTTTAATAAATGATATATAATGTATTATGTTTTATAATTTATTTTTAAGATGTAGTATTTTTGATAAAATTTTACTTTAACTTAGGAATAAGAGGTATACGACAAAAAAATCGATTATTAATAAGAAAATATAATAAAATGTGTAGCAAAAAATACTATTTTCTAAACAAAGTGGAAAAAACATTTATAAGGTGAGGTGGCTATTTATTGATAAATTTAAATTAGACATTATTACGAAATGTTTAAAAATAAGTTTATATTAATTATTTTTAGAAATATTTTTTAATATTAGTTTCTTTTTATTATGTTAATTAAAATTTTACTTTCACCTAAATTAAAAAAATTTAAGTTTGAAAAGTTCTGGGCCGAATTTGGGTTCAGAATATTTTTCCGATATCTTAACAAATCTGAACCTAAAAACATTTAAGACTCTGAACCCATTTTTTTTTATTAAAAAGCAATTTGTGAATAAAAAGTTTAGAAAATATTTCTTCACTTTAAAAAAAAGGTTACGATTTGTCCATTTGTTTTCATTTATTTTATCACCTATTTACATATATCAGCAAATAGTCATCTAGAAAATGCTTTCTCCTTTATTTAAAAAATAATATTTTTTTATTATCTAATAATAGAGATTTTTTTAATAGTTAAATTCTCAAAAGCCTTTTCCCTCATTACCGATTAAATAGATGTCATAAAAAGAAGAAAATATCCATATTTATCGCTGAATAATACCATCTAATCTATTTTGTAACTAATTTTAATTTATAGATACAAATGACGACCCAATATGCGATGTTTTTGTCATAAAATTGTTAGGGCTTCTAGTGAAAAATAATTTTTTTATTTCTACCGAAAATTATGCATCCGCCATTATTAGACACGACGAAAATACGAAAAATAATAGACATTTCCTTAAATTCGACATCGAAAAAACAAATGCGATATCCACTAGTAAGATAAATATATATTATTATAGAATTCCTTATTTAAATTTTGTAATAAATACATTTCAAACTGTTGAGAGTGAACATATTAAGAAATTAATTTTTTCGAATGAACCTTTAGAAAATTATAATACTGTTCCTTTAGGTATAGAAAATCTTTAAAATACTTCTTCCAGTCATTTTAGAAATATGACATAAGTTAAAAGTCCGATATTGTTTAATTTAAAAAAATGATTATATAAAATCTTATAGGATAATGTTATTTATACTTGTTTTTAAAAATCATCTACTATTATAATATTACTTAATAAAAAAAAACTTATTTATTTTCCACTAATTTGTTAATTCTTTTAGAATTACTTTATGAGAGTCTTAGAGTGACTGCTATATTCATAAATTAGTTATTAACCCTTGTGTGGTATACTGGAATATAGCAAAACCCCAGAGATGTTTAAAATGTTACTACATAAATTCTGTTGATATTTTGACCTGGTTTTTTTCATTATCCATCAATATTATGCTAAACTATGTTATTATAAATATTTATTTAATAAAATTTAAGATTTAAACATTTTTTTGGCTGCAAAAGCGCACATTTTAACTCTTTAAATTTATAAAAAACATTAAAATTTGAAAATAAGTATACACTAATATTATTAAACACATTTTTTTAAAATTACAATTAAAATTTTTTAATCATTGAGCGAGAACTAACAGTTTTAAAATGGTGGTGATCTATGACCTCCCCCCCCCCACCAACACCTCACGTTACCTTTTTCTACTTAACCACTCAAGAAGATTGATAAACTGGTTTACTCATTTTAAAGGTAGAAACTTCAAGTTTTCATTTTGTCTATAGTCGACCTCTTTTATAAGGCAAAAGAAAAACTGCTATACAGCATTTCGGAAAAATAAAAAATTCCATTTTGACAATTATTGGGATTAGACCAAGGCTTCAAATCGAACTCGGAGCTTTGAATCGGGTTGAGAGGACATTTTTCTTAAACCCAAACGCGTTTTCAAACTTCTTGTGAACTAGAACAGTTCGGTTCGGGTTTATGCTAATTTTTTTAAATTTAAATTCCTCTTTATTAAAATTTATTAAATATTATATTTATTTAAAAATAATTATATCTACTAATTTTATATGTCACCTGAAAACATTTTTATATTGCATAGTAAAAAAAATTTTAACTAAAATTTCCCTAAATTATAGTTTTCCGGGAAATTTAAGGTAATCAAAAATTCGTTTTCAGCAAATTATAACTCTTCAAAAGTTTTAGAACTGTAGCAGTTCATAGTTTTTTATTAACCAGTGTGGCTTTTGTTATAAGATGGACATTAATTCCTTAGAAGTATCTTCTATAGCAAGTAAAAATAGGATAATGTAAACGCAAAAATTTATATTTGAATTAAAGGAAATATAAGAAATAATAAAGTGATTTATTAAAACTTAAAATAATCCTTTACTATTGATATATTAAAAATTATTATAATTGAACCTTCGGGTTTAAGTCAAATAATTAAAAGGGATTTCGGTTGACCAAAAAAATAAAAATGTTGGGGAGATCAATCCACGAATTAGCTTCCTTTAAGTGTTTTTTATGTCAAAAATTTTATGGCACGAGAAATGAAGGTGGTAGATTTTATAGATTATTCGAAAATTTAACGTTTAATTTAAGGTTTGAATGATACATTTTACTTTTATTTTATAATAGTATATATCTTTGGGAAGTATATTTTATTTTTAAATAATAATTAACGTTTCATATGATAATTTATCATATATTTTACTGAGATAATTTTAAAAAATACATCAAAAGGATAATCCACTATAAAGTATTTTGTTTACATTCCAAAATTATAACTTTTATAATATAATTTTATACATATTCATATCATAACATGAAATATTCTTTTTATTTTAAAAACAATATATAGTAGAATTATATTTAAAAAAAATTAGAATATCCTAGATATTGGAAGTTGATATATGACGAACTACGCTTTAATTGTCAAAAAATTAATATCGAGATCATTAATCATATAGAGAGATTAATCCTATTAAGGGTAATTCCTATTGGAACAACCTTCGACTTTCTAACTTCCTGTGCCTTAACTGGGTTAATTAATATTTTAATAAATAATAAGTGATTAATTGAATCATTTAAGGTAATTTCTTTTTATGTTAGAACTCGCCGCTATATGATAATGTAAAAAAATCACCATATTTTCATAATATAAAAATAAAAAAAAGGATCAAGAAAGTCTGGTTTTAATATTAGAGGGCCCCCATAAAATCAAATAGTTACTTATGACTACGTAGTCCTACGTTTTCTGATTTTTGGAAGGTAGGAACACCATAATTTTAGAAAGGCACATAATTTTTTTAACAACTTATTATTTTTTCACTTGCTTTGTATACATGTGTTATCTTTTGCACAAGTTTTTTTTAAATTTAGAAATAAAATATTTTTCGTCGTAAAACAACCTATTCTTTCTACTTGTTTATCAGGTTCTGATTCTGGATATTTATAATAGGTGATTTTGGTTCCGGTTCCTAAAATTTTAAAGCTCCTGTTCTTAAATTTTACGCGGTGAGGATTCCAGGTTCTGCTCCATTACAAACTCTTTTTTAAAAAAATCTAAACAATAAATAAATCCTCTAAAATGAATCACACAACATATATAAAAACAATATACTAATTGCGTACATTTCGATGATTCTAAAATATTTTCTGTTAAATTTTAAAAAAGGGTTTCGGTTCCAAATTCTGATCTATATACATGTTTTTACATTATTATTTTCTCTTATTTATATCGGCTAAATCAAGATTTTAGCCATAAAATATTACTTAAGCCTGATTATGTTTACCTTCTGAACCATCACTCTTTATAATAAAAGTAGTAAAAATAAGTTATATATTTATTATAACCCATGGAAAACAGTGAGTTCTAACATAACCCTATTTATTACGATAAACAAATTAATGTATTCTTAAGTGGACCTCTGATATTTATTTTATAAACAAATATACTTAGCTTTATCACCATCACAAACTCTTCTCGCTCCTTTTCTTATCTTCTTTTAGAAACCGGTGGAGCCTATTCATTTGCCATACTTCGGCTTCTAACCACTTGCCTCTACGTTAATCAGACTTTTCGCTTGATCTTAACACCATTGACTTCCCCTTTACCAACAACATCCAACTCTTCTTCGCACCACACCCACTCCTCAACTAGCAGTGTATTGCAATGTTGTGAAATACTGACTAGGGATTTACCTTCAATTTCCTCAGTCCATGCCCTTAATCAGTACATAGTTAAAGCTGGGTCGTGCCTTGTTCCGGATCTACCCATCCAGTTTACCTTTCCCTTCGACGTGGTTGACAGGCTTCTCAATCTTTTTTTAGCATTTCCCACATTCGACAACCTTAGTACAAGACCGCCTGCCGTTGACATAATTTCCTTACTACTCTCCCAAACATTTACTGCGCTTTCTCCTATTATATTGCTAAAAGATATAAATGAATCGAAGGAAATGGATGACGGGAAGGGCAAAGGATCTTATCGGCCCCAGAGAGAATGGTTGCTGCTTGGAGCCGAAAAAATTATGGCTACTTTGTCAAGAAACGATTATAGCAAGGAAACAATGGGAGATCGAGAGAGCCGTTGGAGTCATTCCTTGTGGAAGCTCACCGAGTTATTGGCTTGTGACTTAAATCATGATGAACTTGATATTTTGTAAGCATAAACAACTAACATTTAACAAATTTTTTAAATAATAGTAATTTAATTTAATCATGTTTTGCGATTTTAAAAAAAATAATTTTAATAGAATCTATTCTATTTTATTTTCATAAATAATAGATTACCTTACATCTCGTTTCGAACCTGCTCAAGAATAACCTCCCAAATTTTACCAGATTCAAAATTGTTCTTATCTATACATTATAAATTTTATCAATCTCTCAATTCTTCCGAACATAGACGACAATTTCGAAATATAATATCATCTCCAACAAATAAAGTGACAGAAGAAGCAAATTTTAACAATGGAAATTTTTTTAAAGTTCTTCATAATGTATTGACTAAAAATCTTGACCCTTTAAGGGATATTTAGGATTATTACGTACGGTTTTGTAAATGTTGTTTAATAAATATATATTTATAAGTTATTAATAACACTATAAATATATTACACGGTTCAAAAAATATAATTAGTCTTATATAGAAAACACTACCATATAGGCACTTTGGAATTTGTTTTTTTTATATTATTTTTTTTTGGGAATGGGGGGGGGGGGTGGTAATTTATGTGATAAAATTCTAAAATTAATCTTGAAGTTATTATTGAACATCTAACATTTCAATTTATTATAACTATTGATTAGAAAATTGGTAAATTACTAGTACCTTACTCTGTAATCAATTGATAATTATGTGTATACCCCCCATGGCTGAAAATTTTTTGGTTAAGAATTTGAACTTTTACTATAAAATAAATGTGTGATAAAAATTTTTCTATCCAAAAATATAAATTTTTTGAGCTTTCAAAATGTATGTAAATTTAAAAGAATTAGAAAAATATATCCTAATATGTAAATTATATTTAAAAAATTCAAACGTGAATTAACTAAATAAAAGTATTTTTAAGAAATATTGAATGTAAACTAATGTTGTAAAAAGCTACTTTTATAAGTAGCGCGTTATCACTACCACTAGTATATTCAAAGTGCGCTAGTAGCTACTTTTTAGGTTACTTTAGAATTTTTTTAAAATTATTTTTTCCGTATCTCTATTTCCACATTTAAAAAATATGACTAAAATTTCAAATATATATATAATTTATTTATGATAATAATATTTCTATTAGAGATCTGCAAATCCCCTGGGTCAAGTGTATTTTTAAAAAATTATCTCGGGCTGGGTTGGGCCTATATTTTTTAAATTGAACCTGTTTTGGCTTAAATTTTTAAATATGTTATTATTACATATTGTTAAATAAATTGATATATTTTAAATTTGCAAGAAACATGGTGTGGATATTTTTATTTGTAAAATATTTTTTTAAAATCAAAAAACAATTTAAAATTTTTCTATATTTAAATAATTTCGGGCAGCCGGGCGGACGAATAATTTTTATTTCTGGTCTTACTTTTGGGACAAATAATATAAAATTTTGTTCGGTATCGGGCCGGGCATGATAAATTTTTTAAAAAAATTTCGGGCCGGTCGATTATTTTTTATTTTCAATTCTTATATATATATATATATACACTTCTATAATTATTCAATTTGATTTCTATAAATATTCAATTTAATTGACCTTTTATAATATATTATTTAAATAACGTTTGAAATTATAACTTTTTAAAATATATAAAATATAACATCTTATTTCCCACCAAGTTCAAGTTCGTCTATTAATCTTTTTGTTTGCTTTCGTTTCCTCGTTGGATATCGGTTTTGAATTCTTTCTTGACTTGACTTAATTGTTTCTTCTACTCTTTTATCTTCTATTGTCATCTATTATTATTGATACTAGTTCTTCCCTTGTTCATAGTTGGTTGGCGTGTTTTCGTACTATTTTTTCTTTTTCTTCTACATTATAAGAAGTTTAGCTTATTGATTTATTATCCGTCCTTCATGCCATCCTTTTTCAATTGGGTTTTTTTATCCACTAATTCGTTTCCCCCAAAATATCAATGTATTCCTTTGTCTAACTGGTTAGGTTTCACTACAGAAATTTCTAATTGTTCAGTAATAGAAGATTTGACCGAGTCCAATAATGTATTTAGTCTCCTCCATAAATTGTTTTGCTGGTATTCGCTCCGTTAATGAGTGTTCTGAATTCCTATTAAATAACATTTCATTTAGGCTATTTTCCCCATCATTTGTTCTCTTTGCGAAATATTGATCTTTGATAATCTGAATGCAACTTTCTACTAAACCGTTACTGCTCGGATGATACGGTGTAGTTTTTATATGTTTTATATTCTTGATTTTACACCATTTATCAAATTCATTTGGAATAAATTACGGACCATTGTCGGTTACAATTTGACGTGGAATATCATATCGAGTAACCCATTTTTCTAATCTATTTATTAAATTCTTTAATTCTATTGCTCTCGATCCATTTTGAGTATGCATCGATTCCTACCAGCCAATAAAATCCGGCAAAATCTAAATGTACCCATTTCCAGGATTGCGATGGCGGATTTCACTGGTATAGGGCTTGACATCCTATATAGCTGTAAACTAGTTTTTCAACATCTTTATCTAATTGTTCCCGCCATATATAATGTCTCATAATGGATTTCATTGATGTAATACCCGAATGTCTAGTAAGCAATATATGTAAAACTTTTTTTTAAAGTGATTACGGTTCTAAAAGCTTGTAATTCTCGTGCTTGATTTTTTGTATTTATACCCTTTATTAATATATTTACTCTTAAAATTGGTTCTTTTTCGGTTTCTTCTCTGATCTTTTCTAGCTAGAGTTAATATGTCTTAAGTAAGATTTCTTATATACATCACTGTTTTATTTTCGCTTGTTATTCTATCATCATTTTTCTCTATTGGATTTCGCGATAAAGTTTCTGCGATTATATTTAGCGCCTTTCTTGTACATAATATCGTATTCATATGCGGATAATTTATAGGCCCAACGTAATAATCTATGATTTGTTAATAAACTTAAATCTCTGTTATTCCCATATATCTTTATTAGAGGTTTATGGTCAATTCGTATTATAAACTTACGTCCATACAAATAATTATGAAATTTTTCTACGCCGTTTATTATTACTTTAACTTCTTTCTCTATTTTAGAATAATTCTTGCGATTCTTCGTCAATACTCATTTGTAGATATGCGTCTTTTAGATCTAATGTTATATACTTATTCCATCTTTGCTATTAATTATTCAAATATTGGTAGAATGTGATAGTCTTTTAGTAAAAATTTATTCAATGTTACCTTGAAATCACCACATAATAGTAGTTCATCTGAAGTTTTACTTACCACTACTATTGGAATACTTCAGGTTACTCTTGTTGATGAATCTATTTTCTTTTATTATGTTATTTTCTTCCAAACGTTTCAGTTCATTTTCAATTTCTAAAGGCAACGGTACTCTTCTTGCTGGTAGAGCTATTGGTTTTGTATTTTCTTATAATTGTAGTTTTATTGGTTCTACATTTTTTATTTCCTAATTTATTATCAAACACAGTAGCGAATTCTTTATATAGTTTTTCAATATTTACGTTTCCATTATCATTATTATTATTATATTTATTGCTAATCATATTGACTTTTATTTGTTGGTAACGATAGATCAAATTCTATAGTCTATGGAAATCCAAATAGCGCTGCATCATTTCTTTTTGTAATTAATAACGGAAGCCATTTTATTTTATCATCTAATTGAACTTTTATATTAGCTTCTCCCATAATTTTTATTGTACTGTTTCTATATGTTAACATTGTAAATTTTGGCCTCCCAATTTTATTCCATATTGTTGCATTAATGATGGAAATTGCTGAACTTTTATCATATTTTAATTTCGCGGTTGTTTATTAATACCATAATTGTTGGGTGCTGCCCATATTTGTATGAATCTTCGTCGTTACTATTGTAATTTTTACCGTAAACAACTTTGCCTCCAGTTTTAGAACACACTTCATATTACATTTGCTGCACGTTTTTCCGTATGCTGGACAATTCCGAATAGTATAAAAACGATTACAAAAATAGCACGGTTTTTTGTATCATTATTATTTGTGTGTTAGTTATTATAACCTTGAACTGATTTTATTTTTACTTATGTTTTATTATTATTTTGATACTGCCGGTTATCACTATCATTATACTGCCGATTATTATTATCATTTTTAATCCTTTATTATTATGTTTAGTCGTCTCTTTGATTTTATAAACCTTTTAGTATTATTTATTTCTAAATCGGCCATCGCTAAAGCCATTTCTATAACTTTGTTTAAGCTTAACGGTTGGTATTCGTCTTTAGTATCTGGGTATCTTAAACGCAGTTCTTTATCTAGTTGTGACATCTTTAGTCCAGCGATTGTTCACGAATTCATAGTTCTATATTATCTTCAAATTCACATGTCCTAGTTCTTTTATATTTTTTAAATAACTCAATGATTCTGTTGGTCCGTGACTTAATTTAATAAAATTAATTCTTGATGCCAAGACAGTTCTTTCGTCTTTAAAGTTGTTTTGCAATTTTATATAAATCTGCCCATACCACAATTAATATTTTCCTTGGAAATAGTAAATTTTTTATATCTTATCTATTATTATGATTAATTTTATCAAAGTTGCGTCTGTTTGAGATTTCTTTACATTCAAAATATATTTAATATAATCCAAATAATCATCTAAAGAAGTTTCCTCTTAAATTCTTTTAATGTAATTTATGAAATATCATTTCTAAAAATCTACAATTCTATTTAATATTTAACTTAACTTGATGAAGACCTTATTTTTTTTTATTTTATCGCAAATTTTATATCTTTAAGAAACTTCGTAAAATATATAGTCAATTGTTTTTATTTTCAATTCTTGTATATATATATATACTATTCTATAAATATTCAATTTAACTTCTCTAAGTATAACTAACCTTTTATAAATACGTTATATTATTGTATATAACAATCAATTACCATGCAGTATTAAATTTAATATACATATTATATAAGAAAAATGTCAAAATTTAAAAAAAAATGCATCTAAATGATTTTCAATAGTATTATTATTTATTTCGAAAAAATTATCCATAGTAGTAACGTTTTTGATCTGGTTAGGTTCTGTCTAAAGTTATAATAGTAAGATTAAGTGATAAGTGGATGACCATGTCGGATCAACTGGCCAAACTACCACCCTTTAACTTTTTATCTAATGAACCAATTTCTCTCAAAAATTAGTTAAATTGTGAAAGGATAAGTGTTTTTAAGCATGTTTTGATAAAATTTATAAATAGATGAGTTGTTGATTTTAAGCATGTTTAATATCCAGATAAAAATTTAATATTATAGATGAATCTGATGATAAAATGAAATGTTAATATTATTTATTGTAATTTTTAATTTACAATATAATTCTTGAATTATATTTTATGGGCAGTTGAAACATACTATGTTTTGGGCTAGAAAATTA